TTAGCAGCAACTTTGAAGCTTTCAAATAGGAGAAAAACTTGAGCTCTGGCTTATTCTATATTCTTCATTGCGCTGAAAGTATGATTTATTGGTACACTGACTAAAATTAGCAACTTTATCTAATAATCATAAAAAACTACGAATTTAGATGCCACCAAAAAGTAGACAAAATAAATAATTACATCTAAGGTAATCCATTTTGGAGCTTCAAGTGCACTTTTGTCAATTGATCTTTATATGTAGAGTATGACAGCTTGAAGATTCGGATGATAATAGATGTGTGCAAGGCTATTACCCGAGGGCGAAAAACGGCCAAAATGTCTTGAAAACTTGATGGGTGAAAAACAAAGTGGAAATTAGAAGTTTCTAGACATTTCAGGATCACAATGCAAAAATTAGGTGAGAAAATTTTTTATTCAAAATTCAGGAATTGATCTAACTAATTATATTAATATAAAACATATTAACCCCAATTTCAAACCCTAAAATTCAAATTCTCTTTATCTTTTCTCATTTCTCTAGTAGTCATCAGAAACTGTCACCACCACTGCTGGTATCATAGCCGTCGACGTCACATTCAACCACCTCACCATCTCTACCACACCACAATCATCACACCCACCAAAAAATTCCCAAACTCGTATCCATAGTCGCCGTCGATTCCATCAACACAAAATCGAACCGATCAAGAGAAATAGAGATGTAGACAGAAAAAGACATCACCGGTATGCATAAAACAGCTGCATGGCACTTGCATCACCACCTCACACGATGCAGCGATGATGAGAAACACAACGGTGACGCTGCGACTGTAGCTGCTCGACGGTTGACCTTGTCGTTGCTCGACCAGCTGCACCTCTCATCATTCGTTGTCGTCAATCTGTCGCCGGTGAAAATTAAGCAGCCACTGGATATGAGAAGTGAAATGAAACAACCTGGTAGATTGGATAAAAAATAACAAAACAAGTATAACAACTATGTAAAATGAGTAGTCACGGTTGGTTTTGCATTGCTGTGGTATGTAGTTCTAATTTGTTGGGTATTGGTGGATATGGTTTTACAAATGGTGTTGGTGGTGTGGTGGTAGTGTTGTTTTTATTTATTTATTTATTTTTATTTTTTTGATTGTTGGAGTGGTGGTGGTCGTCGTTATGTTTTAATGGTGTTGGGGATTTGGGTGGTTCATGTTGGTAATGGAACTAGCGGTTGTGATGGTGTCGACAGTAAAGTAATGGTCGACAGTTGTGTGGTGGTGGTGGTCGTCATGTTTTGATGGTGTTGGGGATTTAGGTGGTTCATGTTGGTAGTGGAACTAGCAGTTGTGATGGTGTCGACAGTAAGGTCGTGGTCAATAGTTGTGTAGTGGTGTGGTACATGTAGTGGTTATTGTTTTTGTTATTGTTGTTGGCAGTGATTTTGGTGGTGTTGTGGCGAGGGTGGAATAGTGTTCGTGACCAACTATTTGGTTGACTTGTGACCAAGTATTGGTGGTGAATCAAGATCGGGGATGGGCGTTTGGTGTATGTGACCAATTATTTGATTCTTTGTGACTGACTATTAATCCGTGAAATTCGTTAACTTGTGACAAAAAAATAATTTGTGACCAACAAATTTGAAAATTTGTGACCGATAAAATAAATTGGGTCAATTTTTGATTTGTGATCTCGAAATAATCTGTGACTTACAAATTTTTGATTTGTGACCTCAAAATAATCTGTGACCAATTAATTTGAAGATATGTAACCAGTAAAATAGTTGTGACCTATAATTATGTATATGTGACTATTAATTGTAAATTTGTGAGCTTATTAAATTTAATTAATAAATATTTTTAATTAATTAGTTAATACCTAAATTTTGCATTTTAAAATTTGACACTTGAAAATTGAATTGTGTCAAAGTTAACACCTGCCTTGTGAATTTTTCCCAAAAACAAATCTAGAAGTGTGAACAAAGTCTAGCGGGCCCAATCAAAGTCCATTTGGATCAAATAGAAGTAGCAGCCCAACCGAAGCTTGTAAAATTTCAAGTTGGAATAAATTGTGACGGCCCAAAATAAGGTCCGATGACGGTTAATTATACCATGGAAAACAAATACAGGGCTAGCCCACTTTACCTATAAATGGAGGCATTGCCATGATTTTACATTGGGCTTGGGTATGTGCAAAAGACCCAAGAAATAAAAATGTTGACCCATCCCAGCAGAGTGGCGGGAGAAGCACATTATCCCAAAAAGGTCTGTGTTTTAATGAAATGAATAGTATTTTTTTGAAAAATGTGTGATTGAAAAAGAATGAAAAATTTTTGATTTGTGTGTAATATTTTTTTATAAAATATTATGTGGTTGAAAATAAGAGAGAGAAAAAGAACGAGAACGAGAGCCAAACGGGGGCAATAATTCTTAACATACCTCTTGCAATGACCATCGGACAAAATCCACGAGCTAGTGGAAAGGGACCTGGCAAGAGGGTAACTTGACATTAGCTTACAACAATTTGAAAGGCTGAAAATATTTTGACGACCTTCGTCGGAAGCTAGAAAACTTTGAAGTTATCTGATCACCAAGGGAGGCTTTTATGTGAGACCGCAGCATGTCGATGGTACAACATGCTACCATGTCATGTGTTATCAATCAGCCCATAAAATAGTAGAATAAGAAAATATCTTGTTGGAGCATTTCATCAAGCATTCGCTGGATGGTAATCAGCGGGTCAATTGAAGAGGGTGATTCATTTCCTAAAAACCTTTTTCCCTCCACTTCTCCCACTGTCACCATGGTTGGGGAATATGACAGTGTTGTTTGGGTGTTGAAATTATTAGTCTCGACCGCCTTCAATGCTAATTCTGAAAAATGAAGATCCCAGCCCATTTCTCTTCTTCTTAGCAATAGGCTTTTAATTTAGGATTTTGTTTCCAATTGGTTTTCATTTCTTGCTGGGTGTCTCTGTTTCATTTGATATTTGATTTGTTCAAACAAAAGGTGAATATGGCCGACAATACGGGGGGGAAAGTGAGTATTTTTTTTAATAAACCCACTGGTGGATTTTTGTCGGAATAATACCCATTTTCTTACCTCTGCTTTCCTTCTTGTTGTATGCCATTTTCGTTTCTCCTCGGTAGCTCATCTCTTAGATTTTTGGTTGAGAAATTGCCCAAATAATCATCTTCGATTATTGTCTTTGCTCTTTTTAAGTAGAACACTATCAGAAGTTCTTCATTTTTCGATGACTTTTTGTATGTAGTAAAACATGGTTAATGTATTGATTTTCCACGGACGTTTCCAATTTGTTGACCCTAAAAAATGTGTCAACAAAATCCCGATCTCGTCCTCCACTTAGACATCATCTACACTCTGAATACTCCTCTCAATCCTTTGAAGGCAAAGGTGATCGAGAAAAATATCCGACGACTGTTTGCACACTCCAATGATCAAATTAACGGCCGGACAAAGTAATATAAAAGTGTTAGAGACGAGAGAGAGAGTTTGGTTAAGATTAGAAAACATACTTTAATGAAGTGAATTCACACATAATGGGCCAAGTGATTAGTAGTCCGTGCCCAAAATGCAAAATGTTCAATTAAAATAGGCCCAATCAATGAATAGTCGATGCCACATTAGCCAATGTGGGACTCCTTCCGTCACGCGCATACCACGTAATGTATGGATATAACAACAGTCAACAAATATTAATAAATATTTTGGGTGAAGATGATATTGCTTAAAAGTTATAACAATATAACACGTACTTTATCAAAATTGTGATATTAAAGATATTGGCGTACAAGACATAAAATGTCTCGATACAAGGAAATCAAGGGGAAGTAGTTATACTCTTTTTCTTTCACTCAAGTTTTGTTCCATTAAATTTTTTGATAAAGTTTTAATGCGACAATATTTTTTTACTCCAATTTTGTTATAATTATTTGTACTATTTTTTCCTTTATTTGGTGTTTTTATCCCACGAAATTTTTATCAAATTAGTTTTTTAAATGGCAGTTATTATGCAAGTAGTTATCAGATGGAGAGTGCGGTAAAATTAGGAGATATTATTGATTTGTATTTAATTTTATTTAATGTTTAGATACTATTATCTGCCTAGAAATAGTTTAGCTTTGATTGACACCCATTTTGCAAAAAAGAAAATCTCGCTCCCATTTTCTAAAAAGTGTACCGAAAATAAGGGATAAGTTACACGAATCGTAGGAGTGACAATGCATACACACATGGGTTGGAAATTTTTTAATTCACGTGGGACTCACTTGTCCCATGTGAGGGCGTGATCATCCCCATGATCATCGATGCGGGTCGAGTGGCTTAACTTCGAAAATAAACTATTTTTCCTTTTTCTGTCAGGACAGATATGATGCTTGAACTTTTCAAACCCCATTTCACCCTTCAAGTTACCTTTGCTATAAATAAAATTGTAACGGATGTCAAGAAGTGTCATGAGGGGGCAGTTTTGTCAATTTATTCAACAATGAGAGGACAAATTTGGACATATATATTTTACAGGATGTATGAGTCAATTAACTCTCACTGACGTGTAAGAATTCTGCAAGAATTTTGCACTAATTCCACTATAACAAAATCTCAAAATCTACGAAAAAATAAATTTTAATGCAGACCAAACGTATGCTCAATTGGTCACTATTAGTCAAACTTGAACTCCATTCTAATCAATTTACATTTGTATTTTTTCTTTTTAATCACACATTTTTAATAAAATAATATTATACGTAAATATAAAATTATTCTTTCTTTTTTAATCATGCTTTATTAAAAAATCACTATTCTAAATATATATGTATATTTTATTAAAATTTAATTTTAATGAAATCCAAACAAGGGCGTATTTTGAACCTTTAAATATGGACCAATCCTTATAATAAAATTATATAATCTCTCTCTCTCTATCTCTCTCTCTCTCTCTCTCTCTCTCTCTCTTTCGATTTTA